CAGGTCGTGCGCGCTAGCGCCTCGCTAAGCGAGCATGTGACATCCAGCCCTCGTGACCATAACCGTCACAAAAGGCTTCCTAGGTAATATAAAGACTATCTCTTATATGTTTTAGGTATCCCTCGATTAATTCTACTATCTATTCGTCCCTTGTAAGCTTAGAAGTATATTATAGAGTTTTAACGTAATTTTATAAGTGTGAGGGTTGGAACCCATGATGGAGGCTCGGGCCATGCCCTCGCTAAGCACTGACCAAAGTCCCTGCTTAGCACTGGCCATAACCCCACTGCCAAGCAAGTCTCTTCTATTCCATACTTTTCTGTTCTATTCTCTTGACAAGCAGTTTCTTGGAATATTCTAGAAGCTCTTCCTCTCTCTATATATAGAGAAAGAGCTTGGATGTATGTAGTCTTCACGCACTTCTTAATTGAATATTCGAAACCACACCTTTGAGCTATTCGAGGTCTGGCCTCTCACAATAAGAAATATTAAGCCGAGGCCTAGACTCTTAGTATAGTAATAAAATAGCTATTATCTTCTTTTTATTACGTAATTAATATCTTTTTAATAAAGTACGTAAATTAGACTCGTAGTATAATATATTAAGGTAATAATTCGGGTTATATATTAACGTAGTTCTAAGCGAGCTAGGTAGATCTAACTAGGTTTTAGTACTATATTAGTATATAGTACTAAAAGATTTATATAAAGATTTATATAAATTAAAAAGAACTAAAGGGTTAAGGCTTTAGTTCTTTTATAAAGTTTTTTTAGTAGTATAAATCTAAAAAGATTTATAATTAGATTTATAATAGATTTATAATTATTTTAGTAAAAACTTTTACAGCTATCTAAACAAGCGTATAAATTAAGAATTACATGTACATCTTAATTAAAAACATATATATACAATTCTTTTTATATAGTACAAATCTCTGAATTGCACGAGCCAAACACCCCCTAATATTATTGGTTGTCGATATAGTATCGACCGGGTGTGGATAAGGTATCGACTTTTCTGCTCCCACTGGGCTTGCGATGCTGTGAAACTATTGTGATCTCTAGTCGTACCAACAAATGAGTTGATATCCATAATCGGTGGTCGGATTCTAGGATCTTTCCTAGTCGCATGCCTAGACTGAGTGTTTTCATGGCTACTCATAAGACACCCTGATAAATAAACACGTGGCTGCGATCTATTGCCAACCCATGGACAAGCGCGCACTCAAAGTTGCTCAATGTCACTATCAAGGTCCTGCCCAAGAAGAAATATCTCTCGCAAACACCGATTAGGTTGCATGGATTCGCACGGAGTGAAGCTCCGTGCCTTGACATCGTTTTGTAGAGGCACGTTGGATAGGTAGGACCTAGTGAAGCATTTAATCCGAACTATCTGGTGTCTTCAAACGCAATGTTACTTTCGTTCTTTCGTTCACTGTCGATTACCTTTCACTCGGTCATTTGACTCATGAAAGTTAGAATCTAGACAGCGCTAATTGACAGATGTCAATTTCTCAGCCCTACCATGCTGCAGAAATGGGGGTTTCAAACATGCAGTACGAGTGGCTTTTACGAGCACTCTAGCTTGCCCGGATCAATCCAAGACCCATTCAGTTTCCAATCTAGCTGTATGGCTTCCTGATATCTAGATTGCCAGGCCTGTTCGGGGTTTATTCACTCTCCAAAGTTTGAGACACAGCTTGAAGAAAGTAGATAAAATTGAGGCCACTTCCGGTTTCGTCTTAGTACTCTGGTGAATTTAAGGACCTCAACCCCTTAGCCATTCCGGCTCCAAGTGTTTGGAGATAACTGAAGAATTAACATTTTGTGAAGTACTAACTATTGCGTTCAGGAAAAGTCTATCTAGGTGATGTATGCTGGTCAATAGTACTAAGAAATCAACGAGCCTATCGCTTTTTATTGAGCCCTCTGCAAAGAGGTATCTGGGAAAATTGATTATGGTAGGAATGCTGCCACTGATAACACTATAGATGCAACCTTGGTATTCTTAAAATTACACTAGAAGTATACCTTACAAATCACAAGAAAACAACAATAAGACAGCTGTACCTTCCTATCCTTTGTCCTTCCAAATGAACCACGTGTGGTGTTGGAAAGACTCCTTAGCTTTTCTTTGGTTTGATAGTCGATGTAGGAAAGACACCAAAATAGGAGAGGTCGATCTGGATGAGTACTCATGGCTATTGAGCTGATAGGTGGTCATATCGCACGTCGAAAGATTGATCTCTCTATTCGAAGCTGTGTCACACCAGATATGAACAACTTTCTCGGAGGCTGGACCTGCCTTCTTATGCTGTGGAGGCATGAGATAATCCAAACTAAAACATACCGAGCACAGATTTGCCGTCGAAAGAACGGCTGCTGTCAAACGACCTTCCCTATTTCGGTTGGTTTACCAGATTCAATCTATATATAGGCCCCGATAAAGTTAGGCGATCGAGGCTGACTAACGCTCCTTCTGGAACTACCAAGGGCCATAAGGCACGAGACTTGACAAACTTGCCACAATCAACTGTTAGAGGGCTACGAACACGATGGAAATTGTTTCACGTTGCGAGAGCTCGTAAGGGCTATATCTCTATCAAGATTTCTGTTTTTATAAGGTTGTGATTCAAAAGTAAGAACTGACGGTGAGTTTTTACAAAGTTCACAAGTCTTTCGTTATAGACCTCCTTTCAAATCTCTGTCTCTCTTTGGAATTCACTACAGGAGAATCATGAAGCATGGTCAGGTGACCAGCTTATGTCATACCAGTCACAACATGTGCTGCTCTCTTTCAGAGTTCTAGTACAATCAACCATCACCTTAATATATTCTTTTATATCATCAGTATCAATTCGACTTTGCTGTCTGGGAGAGCAATCCCAAAGGACGATCAGTGGGCTCACCAGTATTCTGCAATATAGATTCCCAACATCCAATGATGTTCAGATCCTAAGGATTTGGTTGAATCCCCTTATATATAAACGAAGTGTGACCGTATTATTCACCGCCTTCTTGGAAAGTGAGAAATTCCACTTCCACTCATTCACCAGGTCTATTCTCAATTTGCGATACTTTTCTGCCCTAGTCTATCTACCAAGACATTGTCTTATATTCCAACAGGCTTCGTATTGTAGACATTATGAGACTTAATGGATTATCTGTTTGCTCCTGTTGTCTTATATTAATGAAATACAGGATAGATATACCTCAGCCTCCAAGACCTGCTTTCAGACATAATATGAATACTGAGTTTGCTACATTCGATTTCCATATAACGTTCGAGAAGGATAATTCAAGCCTTGACCTCGCTAATCTGATCAATGGGGTGTATATATATCGCAACTACGTTTGTCTTTCAACGATGAATCTTCTCCTTCTATAAACTTGCACCGACATAGACACAGACGTAAAGCTATCAATGCCACCAAAGAAGCATGTGCCATCCCTAGAGTAGGTGGCCGGTAGTGTAACCAGCTCATCTACAATGGAGCCTCCTGCTAACTCACAAACTTACGAAGTTCTATACCTTCTAAACCAAACTACCAGCCTATTTCTTTGCAAAGCAAAATTTATTAATGTAGCTCTTCTCTTACCTCGTATGAAAAAGAAGCTGAAAAGGTCTTAACCAAGTAAATACGAATCTTGCTCTGGAAATTCTGTATAAGGCACGGCGTTCGCAGAATTTCGATGGTCCCCGGTTAAGCGGGATAGCCGCACGTCGCGCAAGTAAATTACAAAAGATACTGACTGCAATACCAATGGTATTTCGGTCAGAAACCATCACGCCTCTTTTCTCAAAGATCAGTTGAGACTTACGAGAAATGTGTCCCCCAATATTTATGTATCAGAATGTATCAAACGTGATTAAACATAGCCGTTGCATTCATAACTTTCCTAACTGTCACAGAGGTGCGTTGCCACGAGCTGTTGCACTGGAAGTCCTTAATTCCACCCAAATCTTTCTATTCCCCCTCACGGACTCGTAGTCTAAAGATTTATTGAAAACTCTGATTAAAACCCATGGTTTCGACAGAGAACTATTGTTTTCCGATTTTGGTACGGTCTGTACCAGTGAAGAGGAAGACGCTTCATACCAATACTTCACAAGCGGAGCTTGGAGAACTGCTTGGAGAACAGCTGAACCCGACACTGAGAGGGGCTCAGAAATGGTGAGAGAAAAAAAGTGGAGCACGCTATATAATGATGGTGCCAGTTGCAGGAATTGTGTTTGCTTTTCTTAGTCTCGGCCTGGGGGCATTTCAAGCCTGGATTGGATGGTAACAGTGGCAACACCCAGTGAATGGCGGGTAGAAGAGCCCGCTTATCTCATTACCTTTTACTATAATCCATGATATGAAATGGTTTCAGATGTGGGCATCGCTGTCAATGGGAGAAGAGATAAGTCTTATTAGTAAGATTGTCTCAGGCTTCTTGCAATGTCTTATTTACGACGCAACTAGTTCTGTATTGTTTCGTTGATAATTGGAACCTTTTATTGCAATTGGACACTCGCTTAATGTAGGGGTTTTTGAGTTTCGCTTGTGATAGTGGGTTTGTGTATCAAGTGAATGATTGGCCTTAGCACACTGTTTTTGTTAGCATGACTTGGCAACGTGCTAGTTATTAAAACTCAATTTACTTGGCATCAGAATCATAGTGGAAATAATTCATTCTTGTTTGCCCATGTAGTCAGATTCGTATGTCGCATGTGTGTGGTGCTTCCACGAAGTTTTATTATAGAGAATGGCAAATACAACTATCAGAGAATATATAAGGAAGTACATCTCTTAAGCTCAAACCCTCTATACCAACCCCTCTGGGAAATAGTCGTACGGCAGCGATGCAACTTCCGTACTCAACTTCATTAATTCTACCCTTGTTTATTAACTAATCACAGTATTATTTCTAATTCGTGGAGAAAGAGATACACTCCGGGAAGTCTACCTTCCCCATAGTCAAAGCAGGAGATTTATCTAATAAATCAAGCAACTAACATGATTCAAATTTATTCATACTTCGAAGCAAAACACTACGAAAGTAGTGAAACCAATGACTTAGAAATTGCCTTCAATGCCCAACTTCTAATCAAGTACTGCCAAGAAACCAAGTTCGTTGCTTTTCGAGAGTTCAGCGTCCAGGATGTTCAAGTGCTAGAAGCAGAAGGCATTAAAGTCAGTCTTAATGACCTTGAACTAGAAGTTGGTGGGCCGGTTCCGGTCAAAGGATTCGTGGAGGATGTAGAGAAAGTTCTTTCGAAGGCTTTGCTTGAAGCTCAAATAGGCTATGGCTTCCCACACTAGTTTTTAGAGCATCCTGGGGCGGATTACTCGGATGTAAGGAACGCTTACTTGGAATTGGTTAGATGAGATGGGAAGCTTGAGGGGCGGGACGAAGAAGAAATTCTGGAGTCATTTGGAACCACCGGATACGAAGAACCCGACCGCGCAAGTCCTACTGCCCCGTCCACTAGAACTACAGCTGCTCAAAAGGTCAAACAGACACTACGGAGCACTTCAGAAAACTATATTCTGGAAGCCACGGTAAATTTTATCAAGGCTAAAAGATCGACCACTATTGCAGGACCCGAGTTAACAGCAAGCGTGATGAAGTTAGTGGGGAGTATAGAGCTCAAGGTTTGGAGGAAATACATAAAGACAGAAACCTTACAAACAAAACCGTGCAACAGCGGATCAAGGATGACCGGAAGACGACCCAGTCGGACTTAGCGAAGGTTCTTGGCAACGATGAAGCAGCGGCTGAATTTTCTTTGAAGGTGGATAGATTCCTCACTAGGGCCTGGGTTAATATTGGCTGGTTTTCGTTAAAGTGAGCATATTGCTACATAGAAACTACTAGGGTGGTTTTTTGAGGAAGTGCTCTTGGAACCATATTTTCGATGTTTAGAAAGGATACAAAACATGCATGAGACTAATGTAAGGGACAGAAGATACACATCCTTGAGAGATACTGACCTGAAGCCGTAGGCCTGTACTGTACTCGAGGTTAAATTCATTCGAGTGTTCGGACCCTCAAATAACAAATAGCCCTTCCACTCTTGAGATTGTTCTTTACCCCATTATTTTCATTAATTTCGTCTATTTGTACTTTACATGAGCATAAGCTTTAGTCGAATACGCGAAACATCGCTTGACAAATCTATAGCTCTTTCTGCATGCACGTTCGGATGGATATTACTTTCAAGACTTTCACTATTGAGGTCGGATTGGGTACCACTTTATCAATTTGCCAATGACCTTCGTTGCAACACTGTTCTTTTTCTCTTGCGTCCGCGAAAGAATTTACCACATAAATATTCCCATATCCTCAGCCATTATGTGCACGTCCTCGGTTAATTCCACTTCGCTTAAAATGGGAGAGCCAGGAAATTGTAACCCCAACATACCATCAGAGAGCCTGCAAATAGTGTAAAGTAATGATATATCTCTTCTAATTATGAAATATGAGAAATCTTTGGGGATAAAGTAACCAAAACAATCAAATAAAAACAGAGAACGCCGTTCGCCCGCCCGCTATGCTAGAAATACAGACCCTGCAATGCACTAATTTCCACCATTCGAAACTCCTAATAACTCTTCTTTATGTTACACTTCTGAAGACAGCTCGCAACACCCTCAGCAATCGAAGCAGGAATTTGCTTTCTAAACTTCTCCAACTCCTCCGCATCAACAGCCTCCCCAAAAGCAGCAGTGAACATCTCCCCATCCAAAGCAAGCAACTCATCAGCCACCTGTCCAGTCCCAAAGTCCTCCGCATTAAAACTAGCAATAAACTGTGCTTCCTCACAGTCAGGGTTAAACTGCGAGTGTACGGAACCTTGATAGAAGGGCTGCATCTGGAAAGGACCAAGTTCGTTGCGGATGACTCGTCGGCCTGACTCGGGCTTGTTGGGGACGTTGAAGACTCCATTCTCGGGAACCATTTCAGTGATTACTTTCCCTTTGATGACGATTTGGAGTTCGGTTGCCCGGGGGTGGACGTGTGGTGTGTTGAAGCCGCAGCCTTTGAGGAAGCCGACTGCCATTCCGGAGCCGGTACCGACTAGAGGAGCGAAAGTCTTTCGGTTGGCGGCGATGAGGTCTCCGCCTTTTCCTCCCTTGTTGAACTTTGTGCTATCGTTAAAGTTGAACACAAAGTTCTTGTCTTCGGGAAGGAGAGTGTATCGATCGGCTGCGGTATCCGCGAGGAAGAGTTGCTTGGTGATATCTGTTGGAAGAGGGGCCGCTGGGGCACTATCGGTTTTGTTGGAAATTGGAGTTGTCGAAGGCATACTGCCGTCAGCTGGTGCTGGTGCTGGTGCAGCGTTGGCCAAGAAAGCCATGATGGCGATGGCAATGGTAGTGTTGATGAGCATGTTAAATATTAGATTGAGTATTGATTGATTTAGTAGATTAATATAGTAGTTTGCAATCAGAGAATGCAAATCAAACAAGAAAGAAAAGAAATTGTCTAGGAATTTGTAGATTCAGAGAAAAAGACCGAGAAAATAAACTCAAGGAAATAAGACAAAGAAAGAGTAGATGATTCGTGTAGGAGGTTGATAATGAAAAGCACATTTTACCGACGGTACCTAGGGATATATATACTAATTGTAGAATGTTGTCGTTGATATGTCACTTAGTCTTACCAACGCCTGCCAACACAGAAAAGTCCAAACTTTCTTTCACGCTAGAAAGTTATTTCGAGATTTCGGCGGTAGCTTCCATCCGAATTGGTGGATTCTCCAGTAAACAACGGCGCAGAAAAGAAGGTGAGTGAGGGGGGCTGAGCAGCACCACCTTTATTTGCAGATACGGTCAGCTGATTGGTCATTTTGCATCCTTCAACTCCACATCTACAGCAGGGGGTAGTTAAAATCAATGATGTGCCGGGACAGACGACCATCTCCGCCAGTCAGATGTACAGAAATGAAAAGCTTCTTTGGAGATAACTTGGAGATGACAGGCTGAACAGCCGCGATTCCTTGAAATAGCATATGTGAAAGAAGCGCGGATAGTGAGGTATCCGAAACAGACGCGATTGTGGATGTAAATATGTACTATCCTGGCGCCTTCTTCAATCCTGATTAGATAACCATTGCATTCCGTGTCTCTATTGCGAGATGGTATAATGTAATGGTACTACTTAAAGATCCGAAGAACACTTTCTACTGTAGATTTGTAGCAATGGCTTTGACTAAAAACCGTGCTAGAACTCTCAACACCGCTAATTTCGAAGTTGAGAATAGTAGCAACATATCTTCACAAAAAAACAGCAAATTCAGACACGACCATTGAGTCGACCGAACTATCATCACACTGCGGCTATCGACCCATAATTTTCCCTTCAGCTCCATTCGCTTCTCTGTGTTGGCAGCCGCTTATGCGGCCCATTGGCTTCTTGGTAATCGCATGAGATCTTCGGATAAGCCCCGAAAAAAGTAAGCTTCACAGAACAAACATTCGCCGCATGAACTTCACCTTGAAAGTCCACGTTGCGCCCTAACAGATGAATGAAGTATACATCCGAAAATCCATGACACGACAGTGGAAAGGACGAACAATTAGAGCAGCTCAAATCGCAAGAATAACTTGCTTCCGAGGGAAGTGTATACCCGCCGAGAAATAAAAGAGGCGCCGCGTACCAAGAATAAGTGAAAGGATTTCTTACGTCAAATGAGCGGCCGACAATACCGAGTATAGACCAAGAACCCGCCTTGTTGGTTACTACTGACTCCCTTTGGCAGCGAATCGCTGTGACCCACGTCCTCGGGTTTCCTTTGTTATCAGTTGGTTGGTTTCTCCAACAAATCACTATCCCAGTCACTAGGACCGGAAATAAATATTGGAGACAACCGTGAATACCACATCAGTTTGTGTACCAAAATAGCTGCTTGGGATCACGTATAGTATCTGTCAAAAAACGTACGCATCGAGTCTTCTGTGAGTTGTGAGGCGTGAAAGAGTTGGGCGGTTCGAGGTAAGATAGCTCTATCAATGGAACTCCTCGTTGACTAATTCTCCATTACCTCTACCGTATATCGCGCGGCGGAGATCGTAACCTTGGAATTTGATAGATATGTTTCTCAATTCCTGGAATCTCGTTCCAAGATTCTTATGGATAATATTTCGATCACGTGTGACTAATTGACTCATACCTATATTCCCCTCCTGTATGCTCAGCACGAAAACCAACGAGCTTCTCGAAGTATATTCGACAACCACATACATGTCTTTGGCGCGATGGGTCCTATCACATTACCATTCTACGCCCAGACCAGCGACTTCCCATGTGCTCTCCCGACTAAGGATCAAATCCATAGTTCTCAAGAACTATTTCTCGATTATGGCGAAGGCCGCAAGGTCGTTGGGGTAGGCCCAAAGTTCGTCGTCAAGTATGGCGGTAACGTCGAATTAATAGAGGGGGAGAACATGCATTTCGTCGCCCAACTCAACTCAAAAGCCGTTCGTGTACCAAAACTGTATGCACTCTACGAGGATGCCACGAACCAAGCGACATATATCGTCATGGAAAGAGTCAATGGCCTTGTTCTATCTTCGGCCTGGAGTTCGCTCAGCAAGCCACAGAAAGAAATCATTTGCACGAAACTACGCCTTGCCATGGATACTCTACGCAAGATCCCCTCGCCAGGCAGGTATTGCAGTATTGGGAAACGACCTTTGGAGGATTGTATGTTCTGGAGTAGAGAAGAAACTGATGCCGACAAGCATGCCGACAAGCAAATACCGGTACAATTCGAATCCTCAATCTTCGGACCTCTAAATGGACCATTCAATACCGAAGAAGAAGTCAACTCCGCAATGATCGAGAAATATCTGTTCAACAACTTGCCGCCAGGAAAAGCAGTATTCTACGAAAGGACTCTACCACATGTATTATGTGACCATCCTCCAGTCTTTACCCATGGAGATTTGCAACGCAAGAATATCATCATCAGTCGACTGCCAAATGTGGACGAGAATAGCGCAGTGGTAGATGATGAGATGGAAGTCGTACTTCTGGATTGGGAGGTGTCTGGTTGGTACCCGAGTTATTGGGAACATGCAAGGGCGATGCAGGGATGTGGACATTTTGAGGATGATTGGCATTATTGGCTAGGACAAATTGTAGACGAATATCTGAAGAAATGGGCTTGGGTGAATATGATGTTTTTGGAGCTGTGGTCATAGAGGCTTGAGAGCAGCGTGGTAAATTCGAGTAGTTGAGTTGAGTAGTAGCACCTAATCAACTCAACTCGAGTAGTGAAATTCGCTATTCAACTCAACTCGCCAAGTACTCGATTAACTCATAAGTAACTCGAGTAGTGTCGGCCCGATAGCCCGTAGCGCGCCCAGCCTCGCTCGCCGGCCTCCGGTCGGTCCTGGAAGGTCGGCCCACGTACGGGGACTTAGCCGAGTGCCCCTCTATTAGGCATATACTATTTTCTTATATTATAGTCACGTTATATATAACTACTCGAGTGCTACTCGAATAGTCAAATCCACTACTCAACTCAACTCAATGGAATCACCTAATCATACTCATTCAACTCAACTCGATTAGTACTCGAGTCGGGTTGAGTATTTGATTAGAAGTGTTACCACGCTGCTTGAGAGTGGAATTTGCTAAGTGTAAGAGTCGTGGTTGTTACTCTATATACACCTCTTAGGATAGAATTATTTCAAAAACGTCGTACAACTAAAATAATTATATACTTTAGTAAAGAGCTTAGAATAATTATTGCCGGTTACTTTTAGTTAGCCTAGGTAAACTACTATAATCATCTTACTTGTTCTAGAAGTTTAGTATAATAACATTTTATATAGTATATACAGAGTAACGACCATATATGTTACAAGCAGTCAAAAAAAATACCTAGAATTCTGGCGAGAGTAAGTAGGCCAAGCTGTAAAGACTTTTAGTACAAGTAATCTAGCTATCTTCATCAACTTCACTATTTCGAGGGACTCAGAACCCCCAGATGAAGCACCATCTGCGCCGTTTGATTTCAATTTATTACATACAATACTTCATATCAGCCCCCCAAACAAATCATCAAAAGCATCTCCCTTCCTCTTTTTCTTCTTCGGTTTCTTTGCCTTCATCGTCGATTCTCCTACTACACCCACAGATTCTTCTCCACTCTCTATCCCTTTCTTCTTTTTCTTCTTCAAATTCGAAACCTCATCATTCCCCTCGCCGTCAACATCCTCTACTCCTACGACTTCTTTCCTCTTCTTCTCCTTCACAACCTTCCGTCTCAAGAGTTCTCTATCTTCCTCGCCCTCAACATCATCACCCTCATCTCCCCCCTCCAATCCCAATGGTCCAAACGCCTCTCTCGAAACCACTTCTCCCACATCATCTACACCAACAACCTCTTTTCCCTGCAAAAGACCCAAGTCGGAGATTCCTTCTTGGGCGTGATTTGTTTCCGGAATCTCAAGATCCAAATCCAGGGCTAGGTCAATCTCGTTTGCGACCTGCTTGATCACCGTCTGGAATCTGGCCAGGGAACCAAGGAGCATCAATCCTAGAGCTGCGAATTGGTTGTCTGCTGTGAGGGTTGTGAAAGCTCTGTGGATATTCTGTTAGTAACGAATCCCTTCTTACAAAAAGTTTCTTGGGCTTATGCTGGGGCGTGTCATGTATGTAGAGATGAGTATAAGAGGGCTTTATAACCCCTCCGTGTTCATTCGGTCTCACAAAATAAATTACGTAACGAACCAAGTAGATGAATCAGAAAGAAACAAAAACTTCTGAAGAGAAACCAGGGATAGGGAAAGAGGGAACATACAAATACCACCCCCCAATCATATACCTCGCCAGAAACTCAATCCTCGTACCTAATTTCTCCCTCGCCGCAACCGTGAATTTCGATTCTTTCTTGCTTTTGCCTAGGTACCTCATATCAGTCCCCATCTCACACAACATTCTCATCTCATTCAGCCTTCCCATAACTCCCTCATAAATCCACCCTACCCCTAAACCTCCCCTCACCCATCCCACCCATCCTACCAAACACACAAAAAAAAGCGCGAACAAACANCTTCCCATAACTCCCTCATAAATCCACCCTACCCCTAAACCTCCCCTCACCCATCCCACCCATCCTACCAAACACACAAAAAAAAGCGCGAACAAACAAAAAAAAAGAACTCACCCTTCACCCTCCCGCCCACAAAAAAAGGATCCACCCCCCACGCCTCCTCCAACACCCCCAATTCCTCCCCAAGCCTCACACTCTGCCTCACAAACTGCGCAAGGGATTTATACCATTTCGCAAGACGATGTTGGTTTTTATTGCGATGATTCAGATGATGAAGGGTGAGATGTAGAGTCTCGAGATTTGCGCGGGCGGTTGAGAGGGGGGTTGACATTTTGAATTGTGTGTGTGTAAGGAGGATTGAGATTTGTGGGTGGATGGAAGGATGAGGAGGATGGAGTTATGGGTGGAAAAATGGCATTTTGTTTGATGGTTTTAAGCTGGGTGGAAGAGTGAATAAGTGAGATGTTTGAATCTGGCGGGGGGTGAAGATCTAGTGATGCGGGTCTTGGCTCGTGTACAGGGACCGCCGGAGGTTTTTAGGTATGGATAGTGACGAGAATTAGACGTCACTTTATCAAGTAGTTTATTATATATTTAACTTAAAAACCAATTAAACAATCTCTAATCTATTAATCTAAAAATAAAGAAGAATAAAAAACCCTCGTTCACATTACCTAGTAAGAAAAGTAGTGGTTACTCTCTATACACCTCCCTAAGAATAAAATTATTCTAAAAGCGTCGTATACCTAAAATAATTGTATAAAGAGCTTAATCTACTGAGAAGAATTATTACCGGCCCCTTTTATTTATCTAGGTATACTACTGAGATCATCTTACTTATACTAGAATTTTAGTATAATAACATTTTATATAGTATACCAAGTATATATATTAATAACCAGGTATCTTATAGAGAACACTAATAGGGAAGGGCTTTCGAGTAGTTGTTCCCATTCACCCTACTATTTCAAGCGAAGGCTTCCTAGAGAAGGACCTGCGATTTTTACCATTGATTAAGACAAGTAGCTAGTCTAAATCAATTTCGCATTGTAAAAAATGTTCCTTCCATAGTTCTGTTTTGATTTAAATAGCCGCCACAAGGTACCATATAAACTTCACCACTAAGAAAATGCCATCTTCACTACCAATACACAAACAATCAAACTGTATCGGATCTCTTATTTACGTGATGCCTTTCCCGAACATCAGCTTAATACAAGAAAAATAACATACAAGCTAATCAAAGCAAATGGGTATATATGCGCCCGCCGAATACGCCCTTCTCCTTTTTTCTCAGCTCCTCGCTGCCACCTTACTCAAGCAAGCCATCCATATATCGTAAAAGTCACAATCCGAGCAAATAATGCGCCACTCCTCTCCCAGTATGTTCACAACTCCTCTCCCATGTACAATCCACATGAATCACAAATCATCCCCCAATCAGACCCCAATATCTACTCACACACAACACTCTGCATATTACTTCCATTTGCAGAACTCAAGACACCAGAAGCATCCAACGCAAACTTCTCCGCCATAGCCATCCTCTGAGCCGCCTGTCCCTTCTTCCCCTGCACATCATAACACTTCGCAAGCATCCCATCCGCCACACTTCTCCAGAGCAAACTTCCGCTTTTTTGCGCCTGCACACAACCAGCCATCGCACTTTTTTCCGCTTGCTCTCCTACCACATTTGAGAAGAACTTTGAGCACATGACATTGAGAATGATACAGATAAATTGATTGTTCTGTGTTTTCTTTGCTCCACTAAGTGCTGCGCCTAGGAGCGTTTTGATGGAGTAGAGGGGTACTGGAGGGTTGGTCAGGATGGTTGCTTTGACGAGTCGAAAAGCGGTTTGTATGTCGAGGTTGGGATGCTTGTCACATATTGGTTCGAGCATGGCGAGAGTAGCAGTGTTGTTGGCGGTATTTTGTTGACTTGGCGTTTGAAGAATCCAGAGCGCGCTCAGGGCTGCTATGATGGAAAACTCGCGCTCGATTTTCGAAGTGGAGGTTGTTTTACCGTGGTTATGATTCAGTGAAAACATGGGATCTTGAAATATTCTTAAAGCAGTACTCAAGTCCCCAGATCCTTGGTAGTAAACACCAGTGAGGAACAATGCGAGACATTCAAGGGGACCTGGAAGAGCAAAATCGAAATTTCGAGCCGTAGACCTTAGCTGATCAATGTTGAGCTTAACTTGATGCCAATCAGAGATTCCAGCGGCGTAAAAAGCCATGTACAGCTGGTAATAACACATAATTTCGCCTCTCCATGCTTGCTTCTGGGCCAATTCGGGTAGCAGGCCTTCAGTCATTCGAGATGTTCGAGTAGCCCCTGTTATTACCATGTCAATTTTAAGTAACATGGGTGGCGCAACATTCGGATTACCTTTCAGAGTATTCAGACCTTCTTTCAGGTATTTGACTCCTTTCTGATCACCTCGATGTAATAATACGACTCCACAAAGTAGGTACCTGAAAAGTGGTCAGCGATATCCATGAAATCGGAAAGAGGAAACTAACGAGATTGAATACGCGTCGGTTTTGCTGAGAAAGGAAAACATTAGATTATCGCGTCCATCCTCGCCAATTCCTAAGACGGCTCTAGTCTCATAACTGACGGTATGTGAACTTTTGGCAGTCCTGTTTATGGGAATAGCTATAACATTACTGAACCTTCCCCATTTCTCGTTATGGAGAACTTGATCCATTGTTACCTGTAGGTTTTTCAACTTGACCAACATTTCTTGTATACTCCCCTCGCGTATACTACACATGACATCAAGAAGATGCGTTAAACCGTTAAGCTGTAATATCGTAGCGCCAACAGTTAATTGGTGTTTTCGCGCAGCGCCAAGTGCACCTTGGGCGAGTACCATAGAATCCGGTGCGGCTGATCTCATATGTGCCATTGCTTCCATCAAAGAAGCTGTCAGGTGTATGGCGTCATCTTGTTGCGTCGTCGCAAGTTCCGAGATCTTTTGGAAATTCTTGATGGCATAATGGTCGTCGGCAAGAATTCCAGTTGTCATAGCATACTGCGCCCGAAGGAATCGAAGGGCATATACCCAAGAAATATGTTGGTAGCTTGTGGGTATTAGCCTGAACTCACCCTGACCATGAGAAAGTGACTTACTCTTCAGCTTCGTTAACATAACCATTTAGCGCTTTCATGGCGGCCTTGGGGTTCTTTTGTGCCATTACTTGCGCAAGTAAATACTGCATGGCGTACTTGAGATCATTGTATTTATTCTAGGTCACGTCAGAAGCGTCGCTTGCGGCAATGAGTACCGACATACCCTCTCACAAAGACTAATTCCTTTACTCAGTGCTGTTTCCGCTTCCAGGTTGTTTTCCGTCTCTTCATGAAGTACTCCAGCATAGCGTAGTCGCACATTCGCTTCCATCCTGGGCGGCAGTTTTCCTCTTTTCAAAGCCGCGTCCAAACACTTCAATCCTGTCGCAATCAGCCGTTGATATGCCTCCACATGTGTGGGAGTCAGTAAGACGGAAACCGAAGGACCGAGTTCGTGCGCAGCATCAAAGTACTCTTCTGCGAGAGAAATCAGGAGCTTGGAGGTGTCCTGCTGAGGATCGGGCGCAGGGCTTGACATGGCTCCTGGATTTATGTACATTGAGTTCGGAGCAAAGTTTCGTGGAGAGGGGTTCGGCTGTCCCAAATGCGCCGGAGGTGGTGGTTGGAAGATTTGTGAGGGTTGTGTGAACATTTGAGGTTGCGGACTTTGGTTCTGATTCTGAAGCTGATGCTGATGCTGGGAGTGGGAGTGAGGAGCGGGCGGTCCGCTGTAGCGATTTAAATCGGGAGCCTGCATGGCATACTGAGGTCGATGTTGTGAGGGTGTGGGCGTGGGTGTGGGTGTGGGTGATGAATAGTACTGATTCGATGGTGTTGGGTATGGATTTCCTCCAGCTATACCGATGCCTACATTCCGGGTGTGCGCGTATGGGGATTGCATTTGCGGTCGAGGAAGATTATTGGGATGACCGTTTCCATTTCCATTTCCCCAGATTGGCGGGCCATTTCCGTTCCCATGATGGGAGTGGGAATGGGAATGGGAATGGGGACTGCCCTGATACGACATCTTTCCTACCTTTAACAGTATCACCAGGTATCGACAGCTTCACTTCCACCAGCTCCCACGTCTGAACATCGACCTGAGCCAAGACAAGTGGTCCAGAAGCCTGGGCCGCTGAGCGCTGCAGTAAGTAAACCAGCCAATGAGAGGGGACCTTGGCACTTAGTCAGGGTCCCGTTTCGGAGGTAAGAGGACACTTCGGCGATTGGCCCCCCTGTCTTTTTGGGGCCTGCCGAGGCTTCTTTATCTCGACATATTTTGCGGTCTACCTCAACAACTTCAAACTTTCCATACAAACACTTTCAACGCTTCAGAATGGAGTGGTTGGGACAAGCAAAAATCACTTTTACTCACCCACCCTCTCCTCTTGCTCTGACCAAAAAAGATGGCTCGAAAACCGATTTATTAAGGAGTAAGTTGTACTCGTACCACCTATCTTATCCTCCCATTTTTACAATCCATTTTTACAATACTGACCTTTCGTGATAGTTTGCGAAGAAGCCACGCCGCCATGCAAACTCAATCCATTTCTGTTCAATGGCCATGTTCAAACCATGTTGACTGCTTTCAAAGATGATGGTCCACCAGTCTTCTATAAACGCAAGATCTTTGAAGCAGAGGATCCAACTTATGAAGGAGTAAGCCAAATCTCTTCTTTCACTTGATAAAGATACGGCTAGTATTTGGCCTCATATTAGGACTTCAATAGTCCCGTTTCATCTTTGAATCATATATTGGAAAAGAAACATCATATCATTCACTTATGAGATTCGTGTAAAACTTCAAAACTGACCCCTTTTCAGTCTTACGCTGTTGATTTCGTTGTCACGCCAAATACAGAAACAGATGACACCTTGCCAGTTCGTACAACATATTTCACCGATGAAGAATTCAACGGCATTGCTTCTCTTGATTCCAGACCCATGCTTGTTACCCTGCATGGACTTTCTGGCGGTTCATACGAAATTTATCTCAAGCATGTCTTATTCCCATTAATCCAAGAGCATGAAACTCAACAGTGGGAGGCATGTGTTATCAACTCTCGGGGTTGTGCAAAACACAAGATTACAAGCAGTGTTCTCTATAACGCCCGAGCTACTTGGGATACCCGCCAAACGGTCAAGTGGTTGAGAAAGACGTTCCCAAATCGACCTCTCTACGGAATTGGTTTCTCACTTGGAGCCAACATTCTCACCACTTACTTAGGCGAAGAGGGAGAAAACTGTATGTTGGAGGCTGCAGTCGTGATTTCGAATCCATGGAACTTGGAATCTGGATCCTTGGCGCTGCAAAGAACCTGGCTTGGACGAGAAGTCTACTCAAAGACGATGGGCAACAATATGAAGAGACTTATGGAATTGCATCACGATCAAATTTCAAAGAACCCAAAACTAAACTATGAAAATATTCGCAAAGTGCGATATCTTCATGAGTTTGATCGAGAGGTTCAGGGACCTACATGGGGATATCCTACAGAAGGATCGTATTATCGGGATGCTTCCTCAACGGATGCTCTGTTAGCTGTCAAGATTCCGCTATTTGCTATCAACGCAGAAGATGATCCCGTAAGTCCTTCCTCCTATCTTCCTTTTAGTTTTGACTTTTTTTCATAACTGCCAGCTGGATTGAAATATCCTTGACATTTCGAACTCATGAATCATTCGGCATGGAACAAACTAATAGTTGAACCTTTTATAGATCGCAAGTCACGAAGCATTGCCATGGCAAGAAATCAAAGCCACCCCATACGCCGTCATGTGCACAACTTCCCTTGGAGGCCATCTATCCTGGTACGAACTCGGAGGTGGAAGATGGCACGCTCACCCGGTAAGCTTTTCTTGCATGTCCATACAAAATCACCACATGAATCTCCTATCAAAACCGAGTTGTCAATTTCCAATCATCTCTGGCCTTCCGGATAACAAACCAGAAGATCAACATTCAAGATCCCCACTAACACATTTCCCAGGCAATCAACTTCCTCAACAAAATGGCCTTCGAAATCCAATCCCCACCCATCATCAACGGACAACGCGCCAAATTCGGCCCAGACCACAGCGCCGAATTCGTCCCCATGCGTCGCAAGATGGCGTATGGAAAAGCGGATCGCATCATCCAAGATAAAAGCCATGTATGAACTTGTATCTCACACGGAGTGTATGACAATCCCTCGACTTGACCGCGATGATAGAAAACTTGCGGTGTTATTCTGATATGAAGGAGATAGAATGTACAAAAGTTTAGAGAGAGAGAGAGTCAGATTTGTTCATAGACACGGCGTGGTTCATGTTTGCTATTGTTTTTTGCATTTTTGTTTGCATAGAACAGCAAAATGATACCTCGAATACAGTAGAGAGAGAGCAAAGGCATGAATCCATTTACTTGTACATACACAGTATTTTCAAAGTGTTTTCCTTGCCTGTGTTGCAGATTTTCGAAAGAAAACTCCAGTGGTATCTCAACCTTTTACGTACCAAAACCCGCACCACCCAAAAGCACTCCTCCCCAAAAAACGCCTTGCAAAAAATTACACTCTCCCATCTCCCATCTCCCACTCCCCACTCCCCATCTCCCCTCCCCAACCCCTAACACCCACCTACGCAAAACTAACCGTCTTCTTCAACTTCAGTGCCTTCGTCCCCTTAACCTCCTCCTCTCTCCGTCCGCCCTCACCCTCCAATTCCCTCGCCGCACTAGCCCTCTTCCTCTTCTTCTTCAGTCCCTCCTTCGTCTCGTCCAACTTGCTCTTCCTCTCTTCCACCCTCTTCTCCGCTTCGGCTTTGCGCGCTTCGCGGATCTCTTCCATCTGTCGCGCTTTCATCATTTTCGATTCGATCTGTCCGTCTTTTTCGGCGTGCACGAGGGAGAGGATTGTTAGCATGGATTCCTGGTTTGGGGATGTGGTTAGCTTTTGTTGATCCACGAATGCTGATCTCTCTCTCCCAAAAAAAACCCCCCCAAAAACCAAAAAACAGTAAATAAACCCCCTCCAACCAAAAAACATAAAGCAAAAAAACCCACCCGATCATCCACAAAAACTTTCCCCTTCTTCCCCCCCCTCGGTTTCTCCACTCCCACAGGCGTAATCATATTCAAAGTCGGAATGCCCAATTCCCTCTCCGTATACACCCTCCTCTTCTTCCTCAATTTATTCAGCGCCGCTCCCTTTCCCGTCACACTACCCAACGCGACGCCTTTACTTGTCGTTCTCTTTGACTTTGCGGATTTCTTGGACACCCCATCGCCTGAGGAGCCGTTGCTGCGCGCTTTGGAGGAGGTTTTGGAGTTTTGGATCCCCGATTTGTTGGTTGCGTGTTTGGATTTTATGGTGGTTGTGCGGGTGGGCGCCATGATGGGATGGGGGAGGGAGGTGGTGTGGTTGAGGGTGGTGATGGGGAAGAGGAAATGGATGGATGGATGGATGGAGGAAAGTTTTTGGTGCAGGGGTGTGATAGGGCGGCGCTAGTGCGGCAAGTGAGGTGACACCAGATGCGGCGCAGATGAGGCTGAAAGTGAGGCTTGCATCCATGGACATCTCAGTAGGAGTGAATATATCTAGCTCTTTCACCCTCAAATGTACCTCTTCTTAGCGTAGCTCATTACACAAATTCTATTTGGTCTGATTAATTCTAACAATTGAAAAAATAAAAGTAAAACTCGAGTTTAGTTCCTTAGAATGACCCAGGTTACCTCTTTCGAGTAACATACCGTATTTTCTATCCCTCAGGGGCCAGCGTCCTGGATTATAAGATATACGATTTCGTTATAAGAGGTCGTCCATTTCCCTATAACATTAAGAGTACATTCTGTTACTTCTAATGGCAATCTAGTAAATAAATCCAGAATATTCGCTAATTTCAACATCTAAAAATGGACAACGATTAATACATCTATAACATCATGAACTATTATGAGCCTGGTATGTAGAAATCCCTTTCAAACCGTAAATCTGGTAGAAAACAAATGCATTTCAAACAAGGTGTTGTTCTCTGGACGGGGTAACTTTCTCAATTATGGAGAGTTGGGTGGCTAGTAGTTATATGGACAATGAGCATCAACAATTCAATAATAACGATATTACTATTTATCTATGCGAATTAGAGCTAGATAAATAAAAAATATCTTGTCGCTTTATGTAGTATCTTAGAAGGAAACCTTTATATTTATTAGATGAATTCGTTAGGATAATGTTTACTAGCTATACTAGTTTGGTTAACTACTTAGATGATATATAGAGCTGCCTATATCTCTAGAGCATTTAGAATCTGTTAAAAGAAACACCTCGAACTCCCCGGGCTATTATCAAAGTACCCACCTACATGCAGCTGGAATTGTCAATTGAAAGTCTACAAAGACATCAAATAAACTGGCTTGATCCAATTCCCCATTCTTTTTCCTAGTAACTTTTCTTCCCCAAACTCCCATCTATCTCCCAGCTCCACTTTCAACCTAATGTAAACCTCATCCCACATTTCTCCAAAATCACTCATTAAACCAATCCATCAATTCCCTACCTACGTACTCAAAGTCCCCTTCGTACTAGGCACCTCCCCCTCCCGTCCCACCACTCTCGCAGTCGCCATCCTCACCGCAACAGCCAGAGCCTTAAACGCGCTCTCCGCACGATGATGATCATTATCCCCCCTCAAGCAATCCACGTGCATAGTAACCCTCGCATTCTGCGCAAAGCTCTGCATACAATGCGGAATCATCTCACAACTCAGATCTCCAATCTTCTCCCTCTTCAGTCCGAGGTCTATCACAGCGAACGGTCGATTCGAGAGGTCGACGACCGCGCGCGAAAGCGCTTCGTCTAGAGGCGCATATGCGGATCCGAAGCGTGCGAGGCCGGTGGGTGTTCCGAGGGCGGTGTTGAATGCGCTGCCTAGAGCGAGACATACGTCTTCGGCTGTGTGGTGGTCGTCGACTATTCAATATATCCCATCAGCAAATGCTCCCAACTTCCCTCTTGTCAAGACAAGCGCTACCCCACCAACTAAATAGAATCGTAAACATACTATGCAAATCCCCCTTACAAATCAAGCTCAAACTCCATCCCGCATGCTTCGCCAGCGCATGTAGCATATGATCCAAAAATCCAATCCCCGAATTAATCGAAATGGTCTGGCTTTTGCTAGCTTGTGAAGCATGGCCTTCGGATCCAGAAAGCAGTTTTGGGTCGGTGTCGTTGGGGAATGCGCCGCCGTCGAGGTTGATGGCGAGGATGATTTTCGTTTCGTTGGTATCGCGTGCCAGTGCTGCCGAGCGGACTCGAGGGGGGATACTGGATTCACCCATTTTGGTAATTGTCGGTGCTGGTATTTGTTTGTGAGAGCGATGGATATTGAAATTTAGGACGATGGCTGCGATGTCGGGGCAGCTTCGGGATTTTGGGGGAACCCCTGTCTGTGCTGTCCATGACGTTCTGAATTCTTGGTCTGCTTTTTCAACGTACAAGTTAAGCTTCTTCAGCACGAGATCACACGACTTCTGACTTCTTATATTGATATTGCAAGGAGAGCTCAATGGTACTACGACGATGAAACAACATACTACTGGCGGGCTGAATAATGAGGATGCTCAAGGAGCTGCTTGGGAGGGTGGAAGAGGTGCCGTGATTGGTGCTGCCAAAGTATGCATGGCCTGACTTGTAAGAGACGAAAAGGTTGAGAAGCTAACGAGTTGTCTAGTGGGGAGTTGTATTTGGTGGTCTTGGTGGATTGGGATATGCTATGTCTCCTATCTATAGAGGATTGACAATTCAATTCAAGGTGTAAGTGCTAAAGTCCATCTCGAGTATGTATTGCAATGCTAAGAAATCCAAGGTTCATTCAGATGTCCGGTAAGACCCCTCAGATATCCCGTATTTATATGGTGTACTTGGGAATGCTAACCTTGGCAGGTATGATCATGGGTGCTTGCTTAGAAGCAGATCGTAGGATCCGAGAATTTGAAGTAAGAGTTAGAATGCAGAAACGCATCATGAGAGACCGCGCTGCATGGGAGAGATATGAACGAGAATTTGAGGAACCAACTCAGGAAAAACCAAAATGATACCAACATTGTAACAGCAATTCCGGGGATATTTGTGAAATGACTTGAACAATATGTAAATGCTAAACCATCTACGCCAGCTAGCTACCCGATAGCCAGTCCCCAAACGCCATACCATTCATTCCCCATCTTTTCCACGTTATTTTTTGGTTTTGAACTGATCTGGGTTCATATTGAGTTTCGACAATCTCGCAATACACCCACTCAGCTGAAGCAAAGTCTGAACTCCTTCCAGAATCTTCATATGCGTAAATCCAATCTCCTTGATGAACTCCAATTTCGCATGCTCGCTCAAAGTCGGTATCGTCTTCGTAACTCGGAACATAGTACTGATAATATCGTGACTCGAGTATCCCAAATCCCAAAGCTCTTTCAAAATCTCCAACGCTGCATCCACCTTACCTTCATGACACGCCTTGAGCATTGCCTGAATCTTAACAGGATGCGGCGAGTCCACGACTTTAAACACATTATCCCCGCTCAGAAAACCGAAACCTGCCCACGTAGACTGCAAGTTATTGATCGCTTGTCGCATATCTCCCTCCGCAGTAAAAACTAATGCCGCTAGTCCATCCTCACTGTATTCTACTTTTTCCGCCTCAATAATCTGTAATATCCGCTTCACGACTTGGGCATCTGTTAGACGAGAGTACCGAAGGATTGCGCAGCGAGATTGTAACGGTTCAATGATTTTATTCGATTGATTGCATGCGAATGCGAAACGGGTAGTTGCAGAGTAGATTTCCATCGTTCGACGAAGAGCTTGTTGAGCACCCGAGGTCATACTATCTGCTTCATCGAGAATGACGAGTTTTTGTCGGCCTTGGGGGAGTGTTACTTTTTTTTGGGCGAAGCCTTTGATGCGGTTCCTGACTACGTCAATACCTGAAGTCTCGAGTATCAGTATAGTTCTGCTGTAACATTGGGGGGCTACAAACCTCGCTCGTCACTAGCATTAAGCTCAAGAACCGCCTCCTTATACGAATCCCCCAACATCTGTCTCGCAAGACACAGCACCGAAGTCGTCTTCCCAATTCCCGGCATTCCAGAAATAATAACATGCGGCATATTCCCATCCTTCGCAATGATCTTCAATCGCTCCACCGTCTCGGTATTACCCACGATATCATCGAGGAAGACAGGTCGGTACTTCTCAACCCTACATTGAAATCAGTTTTGCGAAGTCAAAGAGAATGGAGGGGAAGGTTACCATGGCAATTCGTAGTTGGCGATACCATTAGTATTGGCTTTCAAGACTTTCTTTGCTGCGGATGTGGAGGACTCTCCCTTTTCTTCGCCTTTTGCTTTGGCCATTTTGGGGTGGTTGTTGGGTGAGGTTGTCGCGTGTTGAGCTTGGAAGACGCGATTCTTGAAATCCATTTACGCGTGCACGGACCAGTCTTTCTGGTGTAACCTTGGACTGAGCCAATGCAAGTACCTAACTATTTAACAGTCCAAGGTCTTAAAACAAGTTCTAAAAATCAGCTCTTCCAAAAACAACCCCCTAAACCATCCACCCATTACACAAACCCTAACCCCTTAAACACGTGATCCTCCTTCTTTGAGTCCTTTACTTTACCTACCTACCTAGTTCCGAAATCTACTATTTCCACAAACCAACCTAATATCCCGAGGCTTCCTTAATATCCGCTCATTTATTAAAACTATGCCAGTATTACTAGCTCTCTATAAACGAGATTCTACTATGTTAATATAAAAAACGATTTCGAATATTAGAAATTTAATAATTAATTAAAGTCGGGAAATCCCCTTTATTTTATTTATAGATACTAGGTAAATACTATTTCATCCTCGCTTATCCACATTTCCCTAAGGGAGTAGGTAAATAAAGTTTACTAAACTTATTTACGATAAGGGGGTTCTGATAGTTAGCTTTTAAGTTTCATACCTACTTCTATACCTAAACTATCATTAAAGATGGTAGGTTTTTACTTAATTTAACAAACACGCTTAAGATATAAACTATCCTTTAGGTAGTCTCCCTAAACCTCTGTCCCTAACCCAGTAATACCTTACCTAGGTACTCTATCCCTTATCCCTAGAATACTTATATCACCCTTCCACCACCCCCCATCCCCCTCTCCCTCAAGCACACCAAACCTTTTCACCCCCTCCTTAATATCCTTAACTACTCTTATCCCCACACCCTTAACGTCCAACCACCTCATCCTTCATATCCATTCCCCCTGCTGTACGGC